ATATATATATAAAAGAAGGGAAAAAAACTTCATTATTATTAAAATCCTAATAAAAAGGATGGGCCATGAAATTGAATTTACAATAAACAATATGATAGAGCAAAACTACGTATGAAAAACCTTCACAATCCACCAAATACGGGTTGACTGTTGGGGGATCAAAATTTTTTATTTTGTTTGAATTAGAACTCCCTTCTTTGCATATAAATTTAAGTAATAAGTTGAAAGATGACCAAAGTAGTCATCTATGACTCAAGTAGCTCAATAATTTGGATGAAATTTGGCAATTAATAAGTTTGGGAATGACTAGAGCACATGACAAGTTTGGATTCAAGTTTGGATGGAGGCCTTTGTTATTATTGTATCAATTTTAATTTTTTGTTCAACATTGTAAGAGTGACCATAAGTACGATGCCTTCATTAAATAAAAAATCTACAGAAGTGGTTTATATTTACTTGTGTTGACGACAATGATTTTCTTTCAACATCGCGATCTAGTGATGGGAGGTACTTGAAGAAATATGATAGTTGGGGTTTAATGAAGAAATATTTGTTGAATGATAATTAGCTCATATTGCATCATTTTTATTACCAAAAAATAAATAAAATTGAGTTGTTTCTAAATGTGATGCACCCTTCATGTATGGGGTAACCTCTGAGACTCGTTGCTGGCGTGATTTGTGTTGTACCATTTGTGGAGCATACCGTTATTGTGCAGGGAACCATCTCCATTTTTTTTTTTTTTTTGTCAAGTTTAGAGACATTGGTTTTTCTTATGCTTGGCGTATAGGGTTGTATTTTTAGCATTATGATATCGATCAGATATCTATGACGTTGTTATCGGTCGTCCTTATTGCTTTTTACTGATAGGACATCTTTTTGCTTTTCAGTCAGTTTGTTTTAAGGTATTGGCATCGGGATCGCTTGTTACTCTTTTTGACGTCTCGGTAGCTTGGTTGGATTTTCTTCATCCTGGTTACCCTTAGTGTTAGGCTTATTAAGCGGATCTTATTGCTGCATTTATGGGGTAATCATGGAGCTTGCTTCTGGGTAACCACACTCTTTGTGGAACTTGTCTCTATTGAACAGTAAGCCACATCTAGAACCTTACTTGATTCAAGTTTGAAGACCAAGGTTCATGATGCAGCAGCGTTGTGGGTCGTTCTGCTGACAGGACGCATTTGGCATCGTTGTCGGTAGTTCTACTTGGTTTGAGTTTCTGAGTGTTAATTGGACCTAGCAAAATATTAAAAAGGTTCATGTATTTTTTCATTGTAAAAGAAATATAGAAGGAATGAATGGATAAAGCATTTTCATTGTTGGGCTGATCAATGTCATCTACTCTGAGTTGGCCAAGCATTGTCGAGGTGTTATTGGTCCAATTTCCTTAGAGGGTTTTCTAACTGTTGGGAGTCGGTTGTCAATTTTGAGAATGTAGTTTTTGCCTTCAAGCCAAAGTCCCTCGTAAGACTATGGAAAGGGGATTTTTCTACTCTTGGAACCGTTGATGCACAAACTTCTTGGTGCACTCCCTATTATGAGTCTTACTATGGTGATTTCCCCTCATTGATGTCACTCCTCTTCTTGTTGGTAGTGCATATTCCACGCTCACCGCACATTTTAGGATGTTGAATCTAGATTTTTCCCGTGGGACATGCCTAAGGGATAGAGCAGTAAGAATCAGGAAGAAGAGAGAGAGAGAGGAGTGTGCTGCGACTTGACCATTTGGAGAAAATTTTCGTATGCTCGCGCTCTTGTGACTCTTTATATATATTGAATATGGAGGTTACATAGAGAATGAGAGAGAGACTCCATATAGAAAAAGGGTTAAGCAAAGAAGTCTTTAATATATGAGCCAGTTCGTCTAGTTATAAAAGATAGAGGGATGAAAAGGGTAAAATTTTTCATTTAATTGTTGTTCTAGAGAGGTTGTATAGGGTATTCTGATCTTTTTGTCTACCTAGACAATCCTCTTAGCAAGTCTTTGGGTCGACCAACTGGGCTAGTTTAGGTCAACTTTCGTCGGGGCATCGGTCGACTTTTAAATGGGAAGCTAGTTGGTTCTTGAGTGGAATGGCCAGTCGGCTATCCTGATTATTATTCCTCAGTGATCTTTGGTGATCTTTGAGGGAGCTTTTAAGAGAGCTTTCTTAGATTGTTGGAGGTTCTGGATCTTTGTCTGGTCATTTTTCTTAGAGTTATCTGTGTGGATGTTTGTCTCCTGTTGGTTGCTTGGGTGGCCCTTCGGTCTGCTAAGTTTGCCATTGGTCGGTTGGCAGCCCTTCGGTCGACTGGGTTGGCTATCAGTTGGTCGGATTCATGGGGCCTTATGGTTTTTTTCAAAGGGATCCTTGTCATATCTTCTTTGATATTGGACTGTTATGTTATCTCAATATTGAAGCTAACTCATTTTTGGTAGATAAAATTATTCTCTAATTTTCTTAGGATATTTTCAATGTCTTGGTATGAAACTATATATGATTTTGTAATAGGATATTATATTACTTAATTTTTAGTATTAGGTTGATTGGTTATTAGATTAGTATTCTTGTTGTAGTATCCTATTACTTGCATTTAAGGCTGTAAAAAAAGCTCGTTGTTCGCGAACAGTTCGTGTTCGGTTCGTCAATGAGTTCGTGTTCGATTCGTTCGATAAGTAAACGAGACAAACACGAACAAATTTTTTTTGTTCGGTTAGTTAAACGAATCAAATACGAACAGTGATGCGTTCGTTCGTGTTCGAATCGTTATTGTTTGAAATATAAAATAATATAAAATAATTATATATAAAAAATTTATTATATTTTAAAACATAAAATATTATAAATTATAATATATAATAAAATAATAATAATAATATATTAATATACTATAGTAGTAATATACTAATATAGATATTGTATATTTATATAATATAAGTTATATAATTAATATATAATATTATTTTTATATATTAATATTAGGGATGTCAAACTGGCCCGTTGTTCGCGAACAGCTCGTGTTCGGTTCGTGTTCGGCTCGTTCGTTAAGAAACGAACACGAGCTTATTTCAAACAAACTAAATTTTAAACGAACCGAACACGAACACAAGCTTTGTTCGTTCGTGTTCGGTTCGTTTACACCCCTACTTGCATTCTATGAATAGCTCTTATTGGAGCACATTGAAAAAGGGGAATGGAGAATATAGTTACTAGTTACTTATCTCTTTTAGGTAGCATTACTTTTCTTATATTTGGGGTTGCCGGCATCCTCGAATTATCGTTTATCAACATTAAAAAAGTAGATTCATATCATTTTGTTTGATTCTTAAACTTTTTTCTTGTTGAGTATTGCCATATAGTTAAGGTTTAGGAAAAAATGTTGAGTGCATATATTTCGTACATGAAATTTATGTCTTCTGAATTTTTTATGGATGTAATACTCTATCCTCTTCAATAAATATAGATTTGGCAGAGGAAGGATTACCAAAATTATTTTATTTTTTTGTTATATATATATATATATAATTCTTCATGTTCAAGCATAGCGAAACTTCTACTTCGAGTTAATTGACACTCTTGTTGTGATAAAAATAATATCATGCAATTAGGTATATGGATCAATATAAACTTTTTTAATCTTATTCAAAATCAATCACATCTCCTGATTAACCTAACATATCACTTAACTCCTCCGTATGTACATATCTATTGCTTATACTTCAATTTTTACATATACGCACACAAACAGATGTATACATGAAAAGATATATTTCACTTCTTAGAGTTAAAATACTGATATTTTTGACGTTATATGAAAATTTTAAATGGTATAGATATAGAATGCAAATCCAGATGTTAGATATGTAAATACATAGGAATAGGATGGCATATAAGTAATGCCCCTAAACCATGCTATGATTTCAAAGAAACATCATAAACCAAACTAAAATAGCAATAACACTGAAGATGCAAACAGCAAACAACATTAATCCAAGATCATCAATCTTAAGAGTTTCCGCTCTTCAAATCCATAAATTAATGGCCAATTTATTAAGCATAAATAACACTAATAACGCTATTGTATCAAGCCATTAATTTAGCCAAATTTGACAGCAAACTAATTGTTGAGGAGAACCACTTCCAGCTCAAAGATTGAAGAATTTATGTCTTCGTTGGGCAGTCGGCTCAGCAGAACGTATCCTTGAGCTTTTCGGAACTCGCCCGTCCCTCCCACAGCCTGCAGCTCTCCTGTTCCCTTCTGGATATAGAACCCACCGATTGCTGTCAGCGAGCTACCTATCAACCAATAAATAAAAATCAAGTTTAGGAGCGCTATTTATGTATATAAGCACGCAATTTTGCGTGTTTATGACCTCCAATAACCTCCTAATAACTAAGTTATTGGGGGTTATTGAGATGTTATTGAGATTAATACCTCTAATAAATGAAGCATGAGAAGATATTAATTGCCTAAAAAATATTAACAGGATTATAATTTTTGTTTTAATTTATAAATGTTTCTTTTTAGTATATATATATATATATATATATCAATTTAGGTTTGAAAAAGTGTTTTATCTTCTAAATACTTTTTATATATAAATTATCAACAGTAATATTTTTTTTCCGATGCATTTAATTATTACCAACGCATTAAATCGTTGGTTATAAGCAAATATTAACCGACGATCATATTTCATCAATTATTTTTGAACCCACCATATGACAGGTATTTATTGACGCATTTTTTAATAAGCGGCCGAAATTTTCGTTGATAATAGTGTTAAGAAGCGACATATTTAAAGTCGTTTATAAACCGTAAAAAAAAATCCTTTATAATGCCTAAATTGCATCCCTCCCGGTCTCGCCCTAATCCTCCCCCCTCCACCATCATTACTCCTCTCTACTCGAAGCCCCGCCTACATGCTCCTCTCCCTGAAACCATCGCATGTCCCTCCACCCCCTCTTTGTTTCATCCAAAACCATCGCCTTCGCCACTGAACCCTCGTAATACATTTGCAATAGGAGTTAGTTGGGAACACAACGGCGGGATCGTGGCTTACAATGACAGGAAACTCCCATTTTTCTCCTCCTTCCGCTCGTCTCCTACCCAAAATGATCAAGAAAAGTAACTTCTCGTCTTTATTTTTTTTAATTTTTATATATTTTCAAGAATGTGTTTAGGTTTTAGGATTTAGCAACTATAAATAGGTGTCACCTAATATTTTCTTATTTTAGTTGGATTACATTAGGGATCGGCTTCAAGCTCATATGTTTTTGCTTTATTTATGGATGCTCTTACTAGACATTTATAAGAGGATGTTCCCTGGTGTATGCTTTTTGTCGGTGATTTCCTTCTTTTCAATAAAGACCAGAGAAAGAGTCAAGGAAAAACTTGATATATGGAGGTTGAAATTGGAGTCTTTGTTTGAGTAGATCTATAACTGAATACATGAAATGTAATTTTAGTAGCAGTAGCTCTAGTAGTAGAGTTGTAACTGTGGGTGATCAAGTCATTAAAAGGTGTGAATATTTTAGATATCTAGGGTCTCTTGTTCAAAGTGATAGTGATATAGTTGGGGATGTGATTGATAGATTTCAAGTTGGTTGGTTAAAGTGTAGGAATGCATCCGACTTACTGTGTGATAGAAAATACCGCTTAGACTTAAAGAAAAATTATGGTCGTCATACCTACATTGTCTACAGCGCAGAATGTTGGCCTTTAAAGAGAAGCATAAAACAATTTTAAGTGTTGCTGAATAAGAATGCTTGGAAGGATGAGTGGCTTGACACATATAAACAAAATGCGAAATGAATATATTCATGATAGGGTTTTGTGTAGCTCCAGTGGCGAACAATATTGGAGTGAGTCATCTTAGATTGTTTGGTCACTTTAAACGTCGTCCATCTGATGATCTGGATAGGAGAGTAGAAGTTTTAGATTTGGCTTATGTTAAGAAAGGTAGAGGTAGACCTAAAAAGACTTGATCACATTGTATTAAAAAATATCTTAATGTATTAGAATTAAATGAATATATGACACTCAACATGACGCGATGGAGAAAAAGGAGTCTTGTAGGCGACCCACTTAGTGGGATAAAGGCTTGTTTTTGTTATTGTTGTTTCTGTTGTAAGAGACAAAATGTGTAATGAATATATCCATATATAGGATTGGTGTAGCTCCGGGCAAAATTATAGAGAGAAAGGTTTTACATACATACCACTAAATTCCTATGTATTTATACTTATAACGCTTAAACTTCACATTTTAATACAACTTTCATGTACACATAAGGCTGTGTGTTAGAAAAAATTGATATTCCACTTGTTAGGTATGTAATTACATAAGAATTGAGAGTGCAATTTCTTATTTATAGTTAAGACTTATGTTAATAAATGATCTGCACCGTGTTGGATCGAAATTTAATAGGATCGATCCGCAATCTGATCTCGCACGTAGGGTAAGTCTGTGAATTTAGGGCTTAGCATATTAAAATTTATGTTATACATATTGGGAACTTAGGACTTTTAAAGTTTATGTTATACATGTGTTATGTGGTGTAGGTTTGTGAATTTAGCTAGAACAATCACAATCACTTAAAAATTAATTTTGGATGGACTTTTTTTTAACTATCTTTGGTCGGATCAAAATTGGATCGTTTAACATCATATTGGTGTTAAGTATGTCGAAGCTCGTTAAATCCATTAAAACTTATCTATCTAATATTGTCTGCAACTTAGCTACTCCAATCCTTGCACGGATATATTTGTTTCATATTTTATTTTCAACTGTACAAATAATCATTCTCGTCGTCACATCCTCTTACGCAATTAATTACACGCCTCAAAATATTTTCTTTCATATGATGTAAAGAATATTCACTGCTTCTTCATTTGTGAAATCTAATATTTATTTTCAAAATAAAAATTCACTTTGAGTTCTAATTTGTCAGTTCCAAAATGAAAATTCACTTAGAAATCTATTTTTTTTACTGCCACAAATCTATTTTGGTTATGCATATGAGATTTCAAAGTGAATTTCCATTTTGGAACCGGCAAACTAGATTTTGAAGTGAATTTTCATTTTGGGAATGTAAATTAAACTTTATATTAGAGAATGCAGTGAAAACTCTTACATCATATGAAATATTTTCTTTTAAGGTCATATTTCAAGGTGTGTAGTTAATAGCGTATGTGGTATGCGAAGATGAGAATGATTAAATTAATTTTTGAGTTTCCACTTGAAAAATAAAATATAAAAGAAATAAACTCATGCAAGGTTTTGTGTAGCTATGGTGACAGATAATATTAGATCCAAAAATTTAAAAATCTTTAAGACAGATTATCGATCTTCGGCAGGCCTAACAGTCTCAAAGAGACTATTAATGTTCTGCCTTCGAGCTTAATTGTGGTTGGCTCTAAAGAAATTTGATTCAAATTTCCTGGTTCAAACTTGGGTCGTTGATTATGATTTGCTCTTGATCTGAGGCCAAAATTAAAATCTTTCAATTTTCGAGCATTTGTCATTGTTCAATCTATCTAAAAAGTTCACTACTTTTACAATGCGTTGATTATTGTCAGATTTGATCACCATTTGTTACAACTCTGTCATTTGATCTACTAAAACTCGAATCGTTTAACATTTGTTAGTTTTATCGAAGATCATTAATCAGTCGAAAATTAATTCACAATCTGTTAAGGCGCACCTCCCTCTAATATTTTGTGCCACTGTAGCTACACTAGCACTCACACAGATATATTTGTATCATATTTTGTCTTCAAGTGAAAAAACAACCATAAACCTAATCATCATCATCTCCGCAACTTTTAACAAGATTACTTTCACACCTTTTAATAAATTCTGAGAAAAAAATGTCTCATATGACATAAGAGTATTCACATCATCATCCAATGAGAAATCAAATCTCCATTTCCAAAAACAAACTCACTTCAAATATCATATTCATGAAATATCATAAAAAAATATTCATATATTCTACCTTTTTAAAAACTAAAATGCGATATGAAAAAATTAAGTGGTATAAATATAAAAAATGTAAAATTTAGCTGTTAAATTTTTTTAAAAAACAAAGTAATTAGATAGTCATATATATGTAAATCCCACAATTATTAAAATACCTGTCCAAGGGTGGAAATCTGTGAAAATCAAATTGACAGAAAAAAGCCCCACAGAACCGTCGAGTGTTGAGGTTACCGCTGTGCCATGCAACCGACCGATATGGCGTGTAGTGGGATAATAGCCTTCGGTGAGAGCGTTATCAAAAACACACAAGTCCCCAAACTTGAGGGAACCGTCGGATTGATCGTCGGAACCTGACACTACTTTTATGATCGTCACGTTCGGCGCTACATCCCTTTCCTGCATGTAAAAATGCAACCGAGTCTCTCTTTCGTTCGTCTCTGCAGTTGCACTACTAATTTTTAGGGTCAAGGTTAGGGTGATGGCTACGAAAATGGCGAGAGGGAAGGTGATGGAAGCCATTAGAGAGAATGAGAGATTACAGGCTTTTTTTTAAGTTTGTGTGTGGTGTAACTTATACTGTATCTGGGTTCCGCTGAGCTAGATGAACCTGCAACAAAATAAATATTATCGTGTTGATTTGTTTTTATAAGAATAAGTATTTTATAGATTATTTAAGTTTTAGTTTTGGAGGTGTGTGAATTGACTATGTCTCTTCTTTTCTTTCATTATATTATCTCATGCATACAAATTTGGATAGGATGATTTCAAAATGTCTATACATTAAGTCAACATATCAAAATAATCTTTGCAGAATGCCATTTGTTGGATGGACTTAATAAATGATATTCTTTTAGCATGATATATTTACCACTTCTTCTTCTTCTTCTTCTTCTTTTATCTTTTTTGTAGAGAATGGTGGCCATTTTAACAAAAACAAAAAGGAAAATGTGTCTGAAAGTGAATGTAGGAGTTATCCATCTTGAAAAATTAGAACATAGCCAGTGGCATTTAATCGCTGGCTTATTAAAACTATGCATGACATATGGCATCTATATGCTGCCTATTACGAGGGCTTTTGCATGCATGGCAACCAGTTTCTATGTATTTACAGATCAAATGATTCTGTTTTAATTTGTACATTTATATATATCACCCAATAATTTCAAATCACATAAAAAATGACACTATTTTTGGCTTTTTTTCTAAAGTTTATGTACTGTTTCTCATGCATTTGTAAGGTGACATATATGTAAAAATTAAGTTTTAGGGGTCGGATATGTAAATATATTGGGATGGAGTGATATGTAACCACATATTCTTTATTAAAAATTATGCATGACATATGGCATTTTTAATGAGCTTAACTATTAATTTTTATTTAAGAAAATATCAAATAGAAAAAAATATTTACTTTTTTTAGAGAGAAAATAATTTGTCGTGAGAGCGGTGTAATTATTTTGAATGAAATGTATGATGTTCGCTAGTAGGGGTAGAAAAGAGTGGAGGCGAACTCGCGCCACACTTTGGGTTTAGTTGGGCTTGAGCTTAATGTACTAATTGAGTTCGAGCTGGAGCTCAACGTTAATTGTATGTTTGACCCCGTTTGTTTAGTATCAAATGACATATTGAATGAATAATTAAGAGTTTGGGTTGTTCGTTATTCGAGCTCAATTCATGAGACATTTATCGAACTTAGCCAAGCCAGCTCACGAGTCGATTTGACTCACATCCCTACCCATAAGTAAGGATCTTCAAATTTACAATAGGTCATATTTTGAAATTCTTTTTTAATTGTAAGATATATAAATACATAAGAACTGTATGGTTTACAGCCTATTTTTTTATAAAACTAAATCAGAAAATGAAATTCAAACTACAGACCACCCTAAACATGCTATTCACAAATCAAGCACCCTCTTTCCTCCATTTTTCAAAATTCTCACTCAAATATCACAATTCATGTTAAAACCCCAACTCATATTTTTTATTTTTATCAAATTTTCAATAGTTTGATGGTAGCACGTGTAAATACATCGGTTCGCTAGTTCAAAAAAGTCGCCTCAGTGATTAATTTATAAATATCAATGTTTAGAGTGGTATGTATGTAATTATCCCAAAAAAAATCATATTAGTTTACGATAAATCTAACCAAATCAATCAAATACAATTGATTCCATTCAATTTTTAAGCTTAAGCCAACAACTACACATCGCTTACTATGTCATTTATTTCTTAGCCAAATTTGACAATAAGCTAATTGTTAAAGACTCCTAATATTTACATCTTAAGAGGCATGAACTCAAGCAAGGTTTCTACATGGGTACTCTCGAATTGAGCCCACTTATCGATGTAGTCGAATTGAACCCACGTGCCGAAGTGGTAGAACAGAGATCACCTGACGGAGTAGTCGAATCGAGCTTACATGTCGAAGTGGTCAGATTGAACTCACCTGTCGAAATGATTGAATTGAGCCCACGTGTCAGAGTGATCGGGTTGAGCCCTCCTGCCGAAGTCTTACTTGATGACATTTTCATGTATGGAAGATATTGAAAGAAAGCCACCAATGATGTTCTTCCTACTCGAGATTATTTATCAAAGTATTACTAGATGACAAAAGATGTTTGGCTTATTGTATGTTGTTTATTAGAGTATTACTAAATAACATTAACTTGTATACTTGTACCTTGATTTGGAAAAGGTTAATTACCGCATGGATCGTGAATCTAAGTTAAAATTATGTGTTTAGATAGTTATTGCCCTTTTAAGATTATCATTATGTCCTCGTTCAAAGAACAGAAGTCCAGTTAGGTATTATATGTTCATATTAAAGATCATTCAAGACTTTGTGGAAGAAAGCCTTGTTTACTTTCTTGAAAAAATGGAAGAACTTTAAGATGAAGGATTTGTTTGACTGTAATCTTATTTCTTTGAGGCTCCAATTAAGGTTATTACTCAATCCAAATTTGGTTAGCATGATGACAGACAACATAGGATGGAGATGTCTACAACTATGCTTGAGATTTTATCTATGTACCTGAGTTTTCCTCCATTTAAATCTTATTTACTACAACATGATGGTATGAAGGTAACAAATGGATTATTTAACTTTAATGTGTCTGTGTATTAACCTAAAAAATCTTTTGAGGTTGTAGTGAGGAGTTACCCTCAGCCCATGATTATTTTTCCATGGAATGATATAAACTTGGTAAGAAAAAAGTTTTGCTTGTTTGAAGTCCAGAAGATTGATGTGAAAGACCTTTCAAGATTGAAGTAGCAGTGATAATCCAATGGTGGCAATCAAACTACTCGGGATGGCAGTTTAAGATTGATGTTTTCTTAGAAGTGGATAACTTAACTTAGTAAATGGAGAAATCTGGTCTTGCAGTAATGGGTCCTTTGACATAGTCTTTCAAGGAAAGACTTAAGGTGCCTTTGACAATGGTGGTATACCTATCAAAGTGAGAAGGAGCAAAGATCTGATTTGATATGTCTTTGTATTTAGGAGGAAAGGAGTTGAGATCTGATATGACGGGCATTTGTCATCAAGATTATGCTTGTTTGGGTGAAAATAGATGAGATTTGATCATAAATGCTTTTAGCTTTCATGCTTATTCTTGTCTGGGAAGAAAAGGGCAGAGATCTAATGTCCTTAGCTCAAAGACTTTTTATTGAAATACAAGGCTTTATTGTTAAAAAATTTATGTTTGTTGGCGATCAAAAGAGTGCTTAAGAAGTTCACAAAAATGAAATGATTTCTCACGAATGTTGTCAAATTGTTTTCACGAGCTATGAAATCTTAAGCCTCAGTATAATGTTTCGGCACACATGTAGATAATAAGAGAGAACCGGATATTTACATGGAAAACCCTTATAAAGGGAAATAATCTACTAGAAAATTGAAAGTATAGAGGTTTCCGCTTCTCCTGAATTAAGAAAGATGGGTTTACAAAGACAGATAATCATATATGTATAAAAGTAGTTTTGCTACAAAAGTCATAATTAGACTACAAAAATTGTAGTAGTCACTACAATTGTTATGGTTGGCTAAAAAAAAATCATAGTATAACAGCAACAATTGTAGTCGGTGGCTACAATAGTCATAATTAGCTACAACAGTCATAGATGGCTACAAAGCTATATTTGAGAGCTATAACAATCGTATTTGACTGCAACAATTAATGTTGGTGTTCGACAATGGTTGGTGATCATTCACCTATTCTTCTTTTCACAAGTCTAGTCGTCAGCTCGCTCTTCTCTTCTCTTAACACTTAAAGTGAAGAATTACGGTCTATTTATAATTTACTAGTGGGGCATTTCGATAAATTCAGCCATAATTTCAAAGCCATCAATCAGATTATTCACATTAATTCTCTTGATAATATATTATTTTTTTTCAATATTTAAATGTCTTAACGACCTCAGAGTTGAATAATCTTAGACTCATTGGATTCCTCTTATCGAGCCACTCGATTTGATTATAAGCAGACCAAATTTAAAAATTATTTTTTCTTCTATTTGATTTTCCAAGGCCTTCAATAATACTATGAGTATTTAATTCAAGCTATCTAGACTCGGATTGAACACTCTTAATATCATTGGGCTCGTATCGTTGAAATGCTCAATCTAACCCTAAATTTATTGAATCAGAGCTTTCAAATGATCCTCGTGTATTTCAATTTGGAGTAATTTTTACCCAAAATGCATCAAAATTGATGTCTATCATACAAATTGCTTGACGACAAAAGATATGAATATCATAACTCTTCATAGTAAATCATAGTGAAACCTCTACTTCATTTCAATTGACATTCTCATTATGATAAAAAACAATAATTTGCAACCCATAAATATGCATCCATATAAACTTTTCCACCTTGCACAAAATCAATCACATCCCTAAACCCTAAACCCTAAATCACCCATTTTCAAGCAACCAAAGCATGCCATGGCTTCCCCAAAAAGTTATAAAATAGCAACAATTGAAGATGCAAAAATAAAATAAAATAAAATAAAAGACATGAATTCAACATCTATAATCAAGCATCCCATCTCCAAACCCACAAATGATGGCTATTTAATCAAGCTTAAATAAGATTATTGTTATTATATCAAGCCATTTATTTCTCAGCCACATTAGACAGCAAGCTAGCTATTGAAGACAACTACTTTCACCTCAACAATTTTAATATTCACGTCATTAGTTGATGATCTGGTCATTAGAAGGTATCCCTCTGCATTCCGGAACTGACCCGTCCCTCCCACCACCTGGAACTCTGCTGTTTCCTCCCGGAATGTGTGCCTACCAACTACTGTGATCGAGCTACCTGTCAGCCAAATCATAATTATATATTTTAATAGAGAATGAAAGAATAAATTTTGCATACATACCACACGATTTTTATGTATTTACATATTTAATATCTAAATTTTAATATTTACATCTATTATACTTTCTTGTAATAAAGAAAATTTGTTTTTTTTTTACTTGTGAAGGTTAATAAAAGTGATTCTTTTTTTTTTTTTTGTAATATTAAAGATTTTGAGTTATATGTATACGAAAATGAAAGTTTGGATATTTGATATGGAAATACATATGAATTGTGTGGCAAACGTACGCGTATATGCCCCAAGAATAAATGAGTATATGTTTTTATACATCTAAACTCAACAGCCTTGAACTCATCACCTTGAGTGAAATTAAAGACTCTGAAAGAATAATCGTTGCATCAGGAGACCTGATGCAGTTTTGCATCAAGACTCCAATCAAAGTTTTTCACGTCTGCAAGCAGCCCACCTTGGTATGTATATATATATATAATTTAATATATGAATGAGTCTGCCTAAACACAAGGCTAAATATTTTATATATTATATCATCTTCAATGGTAGGAAGTCTTACAAACAAACGACTCAATTCTTATGTATTCACGTATCAAACACCTAAAAATTCAATTCTTACATGCAAATTGAGCGATATATAAATATAAATATATAGATGTGTAAATCCACATATAACTAAAATACCTGTCCAGGGGTGGAGATCTGTAAAAAACCAATTTTCGGTGAAAAGGGCAGCAGAGCCGTCAAGCGATGCAACTGTCATTGTGCCCTGCACCCGACCAAGAAGGCGCGACGTGGGATCATAACCCTCAGTGATAGGGTTATCATAAACTAATATGTCACCAAAACTGTAGAAATGTTTTGATTGGTCAACTGGGCTGGACACTACTTTTATAACAGTAGCGTTGGGGGATTCAGTCCTTTCGTTAGCGTAGAAATGCAGCCGAGTCTCCTTTTCGTTCGTCTCTGGAGTAGCTGCACTAATTTTTAAGATTAGGGTTAGGGTTAGGGTGATGGCTAGGAAGATGGTGAGAGGGAAGGTGATGGAAGCCATTAGAGGGGATGAGAGAATGCTTGGTTTTTTAACGTTTGTGTGTGTTGTAATTTATACTGTATATGAGTTCTGCTGAGATAGTTGAAGCTGCAACAAAATAAATATTATGAATGGACTTGGTCTGCTCTTTTTCCTTTAATTAAATTATCTAATGTGTATAAATTTAGATTGGATGATTTAAAGTGTTTATAAATAAGGTCAACAAGTCAAAATAATTTTTGCAGAATGCCACTTGTTGGATGGACTTGATGAGGAGATTGTTTTTAGCATAATATGTTTATCACTGATGTTTTATTTTGTGGAGAGAATTGTGGCTAATTTTGAAGAAAACAAATTAAAAAAAAAAGGGGAGAAATGTGTCTGAATCCTATTAAATAAAATTTTAAGATTTAATTTAAATCCTATTAAATAAAATTTTAAGATTTTTAAATAACATTAGTTTGAAAAATCTCACATAATTTGGTTTGATTTATTTATTAAATTTGTGAATTCTTAAATCTAATTATTTATAAGAATTAACATATTTAAGGTTATTTTTCTCTAAGAAAAATATAACATCATTTGAGTCTTAAATCTAAATATTTATAAAAATTTTGATCATGCTCTCAAGATTCACTAAATCCTATTTTTATTGAATTTAGAGTTATAATAATATATATCTTTATTGGTCTATATCAATTAAGTTAATTAGCTAATATTGTGCCAATTTTTTTGTTAAAAGGTACCATTTAAAGGATGCAATATTGCATGGAGGAGTGGCCTTTAACAAAGCTCATGAAGGATTGAATGGATTTGAGTACAATGCTAAAGATCCAAGATTTTAGTGAACTTTGCAAGAATGGAATGAGAAGCAATTCCATGATTATAGTGAAAAATATTTTGAAATTTTAAAAGGGATTTGAGAATATTAATGTTCTTGGTGAAACTAGAGGAACATTAAGTATGATTACTGCAAAGCATAATCATATTAAAGGGGTTAATTTTGATCTTCCCCATGTTATTGCTCAAGCACCTCCTAAGCAAGGCCATCTTGTAATTTATTGTCTGATTAGAAAGTTAAATTTTGATTAAGTATTTCTTGAATTAACTTCAAATTATATCTTTAAAAATTTTATATTTACATACATAACCCTCAAATTATTGATAACACGCAAAGATAACAATATTGATTTTTGGAAGTGAAACACATCTTTTCATGCATAAACTTTTAATACCATAGTGCTATAAATGTATAAATCAAATTTTAGTCGTTAGATATGTAAATGTATAAGAATTAAGTGGTTGTTGTAGGAGGGGCTAGCATAACTGGGGTTGTAGTAGGAGGATCTAGAGTGAGTGGGGCTGCAATAAGAGGGGCAACAACGAAACGGCCCGGTAGACAAAAAGGTGTGGCAACATGTGTGGTAGCAGGTGTGGGAACAGGTGTGGCAGTATGTGTGGTAGCAGTTGTGGGAACAAACATGACAGCAAGTGTGGCAGTGACTTCGGGGACTGCAAACCACAGGTGGCACACGCAAGTATACATGAGGTATCAATAGTATCGAGGTTATGTTGATTGTCGATCCCACAGATGAACACAATATCGAAAAGTTCTAGTCTACCATTGTCAGTCCTAGCTTAAAAGGTTCAACATGCAAGATTCAAGTTTTAAACCTACCCTAAAGTTAGGAAAAAAAAAGGTCTAATCTAGCAAGCAAAAGAAAGTTTGTAAGAGCTTCAAGTTTCAAGAAGTTTCCCCCTTGAACTGATCTAGTGAAGAATATAATTAAACAAGTGATTAAAAATTAGTTTCAAACATGAGTTCGCCTATCCCTTATCCCCTTCCGGTGGTCTAAGAAAATTTGACGGTCAAGAGTTTAGTTTCCTAAATCCTTTGATCAATCCAATTAAATTATCTCCTTGAATGTAAGCATAAACTCCAAGGTAATATTCATATTCCAAAGAGTTTTTGTGATTACCTCTATTGTTCCACTATATATCATTTCGGATCAAATAGTTCACAATGGATATTAACATTTCTATTGGACAAATAGGGAGTAAATTAAGTGGAAAAGTTAACTCAACACCAATATGAACAATTATCCAACAAATCACATAGAGAGATTCAACCATATCCTACCACCATATAATTCAAGGGAGAAATGAAAAGTTCTACTCACTTTTCATCATAAAAATCATCTAATCAAACTTTGAATTAAAAAAAAAAAATCATACACAAAGTTCTTCACATAAATCCAATAGAGAATCCAAAACAAAGTGTACTTGTCTTCTTGCTTTTACAAGAAAGGTGGATGAAAAGAAAGCAAACAGTGAATACAATTTTTGTTCCTCTCAAATCTCTCCTCTTCTCAAATTCAAACTTCTTGCAAAGCCTCTCTTGACTTCTCACTCTATGCCTCTCTAAAGATTGACAGAAAAATAGTAAAAAGCCCCTAGAATTTTGTCTTCAAGCTTTTGATTCCTCTTCCCTAAAACTCAAATTATGAACTATCTAAACTGTCATTTTTTGGGTTCTAATGCCGCAGCGCCCATAGGTAGTGACGAGGCACTACAGTCTTCTCATTTGATCTTGTTAAACAAAATAGGAATGAGTTTTTATAAGTGACTACCTACAATCAAACTTCCAAAGATACAAAGTAAGTGACCAGAAGCCTCTATTGAATTATTTTGTCACATGCACTTCAAGAAATTTTGAACTTCTTCAAATGTTATTTAATCTCATATTCATTTTAAGGGATTTAGTAGATGCTAAGTTAATACAATATACATGTCAAATTCTAAAAATTTAGTCCTCTATATGTTGATTCGCTAATAACTCATAAACATATTAAATGAATCAAATCACAGAATTTTATGAAGTTTTCAATTTAAAAGAAAAAGTAACAAAACTATTTTTTTGATAACGCTTTTCCTCAAGCTTTTCCTCGATGTTTTTCATTTATGACTTTTTTTCATCATTTTTCTTTCTCTTTCTTTTTTTTAGGATTATTATTTTTAATCCCACTTTTTTTATATAATCTCTTTTTCATATACATCATAGAGGATTGCTATATCTGAATTAGTCTTTTAATAATTTTGAATTCCACTTTAATCTCCTTAAATTAAAATACTCCAACATTCTCTTCATATTGAAGATTTACAAGTTACGAATTATTAACAAAAAACTCCAATTAGGAGGAGGCTAAATTTTTAAAAAGATATGCATCTAACTGTAATAAACTGACCAAATAATAAAATCTTCTTAAAATTAAATATGTTGATTAAATAATCATTTGTTGAATTTCAAAAATTAATCTACAACTATTTCAATTTAATTCAAATAGAGCCCAAATGTCATTTATCTATATATCATTTTTTTAAAAGATTATTATAGTACAAAGTTTATATTCACTCTCCTTATGTCAACAAAAACCAATCTATAATATTTTGTTTACAAATGGACAAATAATTTGACATGACAAAATTCATCCCTCCAAACTTTATCACATGCAATTACAAAAGTAAAACATGATTAAAGCATATAAAACAACAATTACATGTGACACATGTACAAGACAATAATTTAACATGTATATAAACAGGTAGTAACAACGACAACAAATAAAACTACAACTGCAAATTAACTTAAATTACCACAAAAAGTTCACATTAGTTACATCAGTTAATGTCCAGAAATAAATACGTAGAAATAAAAGTCTAAATCACAGTACGACAATTCGTATTACAATAATATAAAATAACAACAAAAATTAGAAACACAACCATCAACAACAATCAGATCAAATAACAACAACATCCAAGCATCGATCATCATCGTCTTCTTTTTCTTCCAATCCATATGAGACACACAGATGTATCTAAAAGATTTTTTCATTACAATTGGAGAGAAAGTCTCTTTATAAGCAATGCCCTCATTTTGAGTAAAGCCTTTCTCAATAAACATGTCTTATATCTCTCTACAATATTTTTTAATCATTTTTTTATTTTAAATATCCATTTACACCCAATAGGCTTTGCACATTTAGATTATCAAATGAAATCTGAAATGCCATTATCTTTCGTGGAATTAATTTCTTCATTCTTGGCATCAATTCACTTTTAAGAATAAGAAATTAGTTTAAGCTGGTTGAAAACTTATAAAAAAACATCTGGAATTGCATTTCTCCTTTCTCTTATAGATCTTCTTGATGATATTTGTTCTTGAGATGTTTGAGTTTGTTCATTAGGAATAACTATTTCATTTTTTTATGGGGAATTGTCTTATATTATCTTGATATTTTGAAGTTGTTATTTGATCAAATTTAGTAATAGAAATTTGATTTTTATCAAAAATAACATGAGGAATAAGATAAGATTCATCTTTAAAGGCAAAATGTTTAAGCTTGATATCTTTAAAGAACACTGCATTTCCCATTTCAAAAAAAAAAAATAAACTTAGTAATGATATCATAAAATTCTATTAGCGTATCCAATAAAGTAACAAATCATTCTAGAATCCAACTCTTTTTATTTTGCCTATAAGATCTTGTATCAGCTGGACATTGTCAAATATGAAAGTGTTTTAACTGAGGTTTTTACCTGTCAAAGCTCATAGGGCATTTTAGTTGCTACTTTAGTTGAAACTTTATAGAGAATATGAGCTGCCATTTCTAGAGCTTCCTCCCATAGAGCTTCTCATAGAGTTGAATGCTTAATCATATTTCTTACAACATCCTAAAGAGTTTTATTTCGTTTATGAACAAGACCATTCGTGCCAGGAGATTCTAGCATGGTATATTGTGAAACTATTTCACATTTCTCTAAAAAATTTAGCAAAATGTCTTGAATGTTGTTCTCTTAATTCATCATATATTTCATACTACTCACCACCACTATCAGATCTGACAACCTTAACTTATTTGTTTAGTTGGTTATCAACCTTAGTTTTATAAGCTTTGAACAGGTTTAGTGATTGAGACTTGGCATGAATGAGATGTAAGTAGCCATAACAAGAAAAATCATCTATGAATGAAATGAATTATTGTTTACCATGCAATGAATCTGAAGAGAATGGTCCACAAATATTTGTATGGTTTAATTATAAGACATGAAGTTATAGTAGCACCTAATCTTTTTATGTTTGTTTATTTTCTCTTAATACTATTAACATAAACTTCAAAGTTTATAAAATCAAGGAAATTAAGATTTCTTTTAAAAGCGGGTCTCCCAATTTTATTTTTAGAGAAATGACAAAACCGTTTGTGTCATAATGAACCTGAATTCTCATTAATTAAATTGCATTTTATACAACTTGTATTTATATG